GTTGGACTATAATGAAAGCTGAGTGTTGAAGAATTGATACTTTTTTAACTGTGGTGTTGGAGAAGACTCTTGAGAGTCCCTTGGACTGCAAGGAGGTCTAACCAGTCCATCCTAAAGGAGATCAGTCCTGGGTGTTCGTTGGAGGGACTGATGCTGAAGCTGCAACTCCAATACTTTGGCCACCTAATGCGGAGAGCTGACTCATTGGAAAAGACCCTGATGCTGGGAGGGATTGGGGGCAGGAGGAGAAGGGGACGACAGAGGATGAGGTGGTTGGATGGCATCACCAACTCGATGGACATGGGTTGGGTGGACTCCGGGAGTTGGTGATGGACAGGGAGGCCTGGCATGCTGCGGTCCATGGGGTCACAAAGAGTTGGACACAACTGAGCGACTGAACTGAATTGAATGGTGACTAGGGCCTGGAAAGTCATTCTCAATCAAGGGTGAATTTGTCGACAGGTGACAATGCCTGGAGATGTTTTTATTGTCACACCTGGGGTGCGGGGGCAGGGAGTAGAAAGTCGTGAGTAGAGACGCCAGGAATGCTCCTCAATATTCTATACAACATGCAGGACAACTTCTACTCACCAGGACTATCTGATTCGAAATGTCAATTATCTCAAGATTGTGAAATCTTAGACTAGGGTAATGAATGGAAGTGGGGATGGAGATAAGCGAGTAGATTTTTTCTTTAATATTTAAAAAGTTGAGGGCTTCCCTGCTGGCTCAGTGGTAAAGAATTCACTTGGCAATGCAGGAGACACAGGTTCTATCCCTGGTCCAGGAAGATCCCACAGGCCTTGAAGAATGAGCACCAAACTGTTGAGCCTGTGCTCTAGAGCCGAGAGCTGGAACTGCTGAAGCCTGGGTGCCCTAGAGCCTGTGCTCTGCATCTAGAGAAGCCGCTGCAATGAGAAGCCCGCACGCTGCAACTAGAGAGTAGCCCCCGCTCACTGCAGCTAGAGAAAAGCCCATGCAGCAACGAAGACCCAGCGCAGCCAAAAACTGCTCACTGCAGCTAGGGAAAAGCCCATGCAGCAACGAAGACCCACCACAGCCAAAAATAAATAAAATTATGTTTTGAAAAAAGCTGAACTGATGCATCATGCAGATAGACCGTACATGGGACTGAGCCAAAGACATCAGAATGATGCTAGGATATAGGCAGATATTGGTACCAGAAACCATGACCGTTGGACCCCTGAAAAGCAGAAGAGCTCAGAGAAGCAGGCCATTTCTGACGTTACTGGCTTATTATGAAAGGATATATGTAACTCAGAACAGTCAGATGGAACACAGGGAAAAGTATGAGGAGAGGGCTTAGGGCTTCCATGCCTTCTCTTTGGGGACATGTACCATTCTCCCCAAATCTTCACATGTTCCCTGACCTAGAAGCATTCTGAACTGCATACTTCTGTTTTTTGTTTGTTTGTTTGTTTTTTAATGGAGGCTTCATTCCATAGGCACGGTTGATTAGATAACTGGCCAAGGGGATTGATTCAGTTTCCAGCTCCTTTCCCCTCCTGGGAGGTCAGGAGTTGAATGGAAAATTCTAACCTCCTAATCACAGGGTTTCATTCTCCCTGAGAAACAGCCCTCATCCTTTTGTGCTTTCCAGAAGTTGCCCCATTAACAAACTCTGGTATGGTGGAAAGGGGTTTGTTAAGAATAACGAGACACCCATTTCTAGCTCTGAAGTGTTTTCACGAATTGAGGACAAGAGACCAAATTTTTTTTTTTTTAACAAAAGATGCTCGTATTGCTCTCATCACTCAGGAAATTTCAAGGGTTTGGGGAGCTGTGGACCAGGAACCATGAACGAAGACCAAAATATGTATTTACTGCAAGTCACAGTATCACACGTAGCAACGCTTTTTAAGGTCATGGAGGAAATAGAACATCTTGGGAGTGCAATCCTGATGCATTCTAAGATTTAGGAGTCAGGGGAAGAGGCAGAACTATTAAAGATGAGCAAGAGTGTCTAGAAAGGTTGAAGGAAAACCAGGGAAGTATGGACCTGGGCTCGATCCCAGGGTCGGGAAGACCCCCTGGAGAAGGGAATGGCACCCCACTCCATTATTCTGGCCAGGAGAATTCCATGGACAGAGGAGCATACAGTCCATGGGGTCGCAAAGAGTCATCATGACTGAGTGACTAACACAACATCAGTGGTGTCTTCTGCGTGCTACATGCAGCCCATCTCCAGCAGGTGCTTCGGGATGACAGCTCCAGGGGACACAGAGGCCGGACTGAACCAGTGCTTCAGGAAGCAGGTGGGCAGGGGGCGACCAAGCACATCACACACTGCTGGGTGGGCAGCACCCAAGTGAGATGAGACCATAATTTACCTAGGGCTTTTAAGCATTTGAGGTCTTCAGGGATCTTGACAGGAACAGTTTGGGTGATGTGAGGATGGAGGCAAGATGGGACCAGGAAAAGCAGGATGGGCGGAAAAGAAAGGACAGGTCCTGTGACCAGAAATACTTTTCCTGTGATGAGAAGAGTGGACCCTCAGGGTTTCCAGGAAAGCAGAGGAGGGGAGCTGATGGTCTCAGGACCACCTCCAGGAACCTCTTGGCAGCTGCCTGCGGAAGGGGATGGGTTGGTCTGTAAGCAGGGTCACTGAAGGGTCCCCTGGTCCCACTCAGTTTCCACCTGCCTCTGGCCACCTGACTATGGATGTAAGCTGCCCAGATGACCTCGCCTGCTACGGGAGGCCTCCTCACCTCCACATCTCAGGTATCAGCGCTGAGGTTCAAAGGCTAAGCCAGCGGGTGGCCCATGTTCATTGATGGGGGAATGGGAGACCTCTGGGTTGGTTCGGAGGAACAGGAGAGCCACAGACTGGCATCTTTTGGGCCCTCTCTCTCTCTCCCTTTTTGGGCTGATGGTGCAGCAGGGAATAGTGCCGAGAAAGCCACAGAAGGCCTGAGATGTTGCCAGCCTCCTGGTTCCTGTGCTCCCGTTAGCCTCAGAGAGGCACGGAAATGCTCCAAGGTGGGGGCAAGACTAGATCTAAGCTTTGAGAGTGGGGAACTGCAGTTCTCGGCTCCTTCAGGGCAAGGAGGACCCAGGCTTCTTCTCTCCTTCTCACTCCTCCCTCTGGGAGGCCCTTCCCCCTCTGTCCCTGGACACAAGGGTGTCCCCGAGAGAAAGCCCAGGAGGGGCAGTGGGGACCTGGAAGCAGATGAAGAGGACAGTGGATGTTATGAGCTGAATTGCGCTCCCTCAGCCTCCAAGTTCCTATGTTGATGCCTTAACCCCCAGTGTCTCAGAATATATATTTGGAGATAGAATCTTTAAAGAGCTAATTCAGTTGAAATGAAGTCACAGGGCAGAGTCCCAGTCCAATATGACTGCTGTCCTTGTGAAGGACACACGCACACAGCCAGACCAGCTGAAGACTCGGAGAGAAGACAGCCATCTCCAAGTCAAGGAAAGAGACCTTGGAAGAAATCAACCCTACTGACACCTTGACCTTGAACTTGCAGCCTCCAGAACTGTGAGGAAACACATCTCTGTTGTTTAAGCCACTCATCCTGTGTGGTTTTATGATGGCAGATTAACACAGTGGATCCGAAGACAGGGATAGCTACATGTCATTTCCTCCAGGAAGCCCCTCCTGACTTCGCCAGGAGGAAGTGAACACCCTTTCCCCAGGGCCAGGCGGGGACATCTGTCTCAGCGTGTAGGGCGGGGCATTTATGAACACTTCAGTGCGTTTCTGTTTCTAAGGCTCTTGGTTTACCAAGCTGGGATCCCCCGAAGTCAGACGCTGTCTGATTTACCTACGTGTATTCCCCCTCCCCCATTCACAGCAGGACACCTGTCACACACAAGGTCCCAGAGCGTGGAGGTCAAGAGGGCAAACATGGCGTCTCTATGCGACCAAAACAGAAAATCATTTCAAGGCGAGGGGAACAACAGTCAAGACCTGGGGGAGTCACGCTGACTCTGCACAGCTCCCACGCCTCTTACACTGCCAAAGATGCCACCGTGGGCATCACCCTAGCTGCTGGTGGTGGTGGAGTCTAAGTCGTGTTTGACCCTTGCAGCCCTATGGGCTGTAGCCTGCCAGGCTCCTCTGTCCATGGAATTCTCCAGGCAAGAATACTGGAATGGGTTGCCATTTCCTTCTCCAGGGGATCTTCCCAACCCAGGGATTGAACCTACATCTCTTGCCTTGCCGGCAGATTTTTTACCACTGAGCCACCAGGGATCCTGAGTTTTTATCACAACAGGTGTTACAAATGTATGTCATCCAACTGTGGGACAGAAGGGGGGATCGGGAAGCAGACAGAGATCTTGGGGGACCAGGCTCCAGTGAGCCCATCAGGGAGGGTGAAGGGGTAGGGACACAGACCAGCCTGGGACTGCCAGACGTAGCCAAGACAAAAATGCAAAGTGTTCAGTTAAAGCTGAATTTCAGATCTAAACAATGAATAATTTTAGTAGAAGCATATCTCATGCATGGGCTTCCCCGGTGGCTCAGCAGTAAAGAATCTGCCTGCAATGCAGAAGACATAATAGGGGTTTGATCCCTGGGTCAGGAAGATCCTCTGGAGGAGGGCATGGCAACCCACTCCAGTGTTCTTGCCTGGGAAATCCCACGGATGGAGGAGCCTGGTGGGCCACAGTCCATAAGGTTGCCAAGAGTCAGACATGACTGAAGCGACTGACCACGCCGCATGAATATCTCACGCTTATGCTTCTGAGACATGCTTATACTAAAACAAACTATTATTTATCTGAAAGCCAATTTTAACTGGGCATTCTGCCTTTTATCTGGCAAGACCAGCACTGCACCACCACCACCCTCTGCCCCAGAAATCCACTGCAGACACCAGGGGCCCCTGGAAGGATTTACTGGGGACTTTCACTTCTGCTTCCCGAATGACTCAGGGTCCATTAGGAGAGCCCCCAGCCTCCACCCACCCAAAGCCAGGCCCCAAGGTTGGACACATGCCCTCCACCCCCTCCCACAGAGATGACTGGGAAAGGTAACCAGCTCAGGGAGCCCAGACGCCAGGTGAGCCCCCCAGGAAAGAGTGAGTTCAAATGGGCGCCAAGTGGTGGGGGGAGAGTCCAGAAAAGGAAAAAGAGTCGTGTGGGTCTGTGCACCAGAAGCTCATTTCATGCATCATTTCCCCAGGGCTCAGCTTCCGCCTTCTGCCCTTGCCCACTGCCTGTCAAAGCGTCTGGGGAATGAGTGTGTCCCAGGAACGTCCAAGTGCCTGAGATGTTGCTGCCACTGTTCTTGGCCATGCTGTGGGGCGGTGAGTGGATGGGGGTGGCCAGGAAGGGCCCGGGTTGGGGGTCAGGGCTGGGCTTGCAGCTTGAACCTCTGTCTCTCCCATAGGGTCGCAGGCTCTGGACTTATTCAAGCTGCAGGTGCAGGAGTCTGTGATGGTGCAAGAAGGCCTGTGTGTGGTGGTGCCCTGCTCCATCTTCTACCCCTCCAGAGGATGGAGTCCCACCACCCCAGCTTACGGCTTCTGGTTCAGAGACCAGAGTCCCAGGCCCAGTCTGCCAGTGGCCACCAACAAGCCAGGTCAGGACGTGGACACTGACACCCAGGGCCGATTCCAGCTCCTTGGTGATCCCAGAGAGAGCTGCTCCTTGCTCATCAGAGAGGCGCACCTGGAGGACACCTCACTGTACTTCTTCCGGTTCGAGAGAGGCGATTATGTGAAATACAATTTCATGGAATACAAGTTCTATCTGCAGGTGACAGGTATGGAACTGGCTGGAGCTGGAATGGGGCAGGTGGGGGGAACCCCTCCCCCACCTTCCCACACTGGGGAGGGGCTGTAGAGAACAGACCATGGGTGACCCCCCACAGTACCCCCAATCCGGGGCTGGCGTCCCACCCTCTCTCGGTCCATCCCAGCCCTGACACAGAAGCCGGCGATCTATGTCCCCGAGATCTTGCAGCCCGGGCACCAGGTGACGCTCTTCTGTGCATTTAACTGGATCTTTGATGAATGTCCCGTCCCTGCTGTCTCCTGGATCGGGAACACCGTCTCCGCCAACGGGGCCAGCCCAAGAACTTCCTACTTCTCAGAGCTCACCTTCACACCCAGACCCCAGGACCACAACACTGAGCTCACCTGCAGAGTGGACTTCTCCGGAGAGGGTGTGAGCACACAGAACACCGTCTGGCTTAGCGTGGCCTGTGAGTTTCAGGGGAGGGAAGGACGTCAGGGTGCGCTCCAGGCTCGGGGGATGGGGAGGTGGAGAGAGGCGGCCGGGCGATGACAGACAGCTCTTGGCAGCCGGCGGGGAGGAAGGCGCGGAGTCTCGCAATGCTGGGCTCGGCCTTAGGAGGGAAAGGGGGCTGCCATGCGGTCCTCTGTCCGAAAGCGCATCTTGGGCACTCATGAGTCGCTTGTCTTCCTGGGGGACTGTCACACTTTCTTTTCCCTGAGGGGATGCTCTCTGGCAGTGGGGAATGTATCATTCCTCCCCAAAGCTGGGTTTCCCTGATAGCTCAGCTGGTAAAGAATCCACCTGCAATGCAGGAGACCCCGGTTGGATTCCTGGATCGGGAAGATCCGCTGGAGAAGGGATAGATAGGCTACCCACGCCAATATTCTTGGGCTTCCCTTGTGGCTCAGCTGGGAAAGAATCCGCCTGCGATGCGGGAGACCTGGGTTTGATCCCTGGGTTGGGAAGATTCTCCGGAGAAGGGAAAAGCTACCCACTCCAGTATCGTGGCCTGGAGAATTCCACGGACTGTATAGTCCATGGGATCGCAAAGAGTCGGACACGACTGAGCGACTTTCACTTTCCCCAAAGCCAACTCCTAATCCTGTTAACAGATGCCCCCAAAGACCTGATTATCAGCATCTCCGACACCGATGAGCCAGGTACCGAGGGCCACTTGGGGGTGTCAGGAGGGCGGGGGGGAGGGGAGTGGCAATTCCCCCCGCGGTCTTTCTCTTGTTGTTTCTTTTTCTCTCCCTGCAGCTCTGGAGCCCAGGGGAAAGAACCTACACCTGGAAGTCAAGAAAGGCCAGTCCCTGCAGCTGCTCTGTGCCGTGGACAGTTTGCCACTGGCCACGCTGAGCTGGACCCTGCAGGACAGAGTCCTCTCTTGGTCCCACCCCTTGGGCTCCACAACTCTGGAGCTGGCACTGCCCAGGGTGAAGGCCGAGGACGCGGGTCGCTACACTTGCCGGGCTGAGAACAGGCTTGGCTTCTTGAGCCGCAGCCTGGACCTCTCAGTGCGGTGTGAGTGTGACCGGCAGGGGATAGACTGGGGCACCGGCGAGGAGGCAAGGGGGCTGGGGGCAGAGTCCCAGGGCTCCGCAGGGACCTGGAACCCCAGGCCTATGGAATTAAAGATACTGCTTCCAGCCCTGAAGGGAGAAGCGGGGAGTGGGGTGCCGAGGGGGGAGCGGGGGGGTGCGCCGGGATTTTCCCCACACCACCGAGCAACTCTCCCACATCAGCCGGCTGTCCTACAGCTCAACTCGTTCCTGATCCTGTCTACCTGGAGAGAGCGTCAATCAGACCCCCGCAGGTTAAGGGATGGGGCCACCAGGCTGGCCCCGCTCCCACCCCAGCTGCCAGTCACAAGTCCAGGATGTCACCTGTGCTTTCGACCGACCCGTAATTGATTGGGGGTTCCTATGATCTCCTCCTTGGGAGAGGGGGGAGCGGGGGGGGTGCGCCGGGATTTTCCCCACACCACCGAGCAACTCTCCCACATCAGCGGGCTGTCCTACAGCTCAACTCGGTCCTGATCCTGTCTATCTGGAGAGAGCGTCAATCAGACCCCCGCAGGTTAAGGGATGGGGCCACCAGGCTGGCCCCGCTCCCACCCCAGCTGCCAGTCACAAGTCCAGGGTGTCACCTGTGCTTTCGACCGACCCGTAATTGATTGGGGGTTCCTATGATCTCCTCCTTGGGTTCCATGAATTTGCTTGAGCCGCTCAGAGAAATAGTTTGCTCACTAGATTACTGGTTTATTCTAACAGTCTCTAACTCAGAAACAGCCAGATGGAAGTGATGCTTAGGGCAAGGTATGGGGAAGGGGCACATAACTTCCATGCCCTCTTCCTGGGCGCCATCTTCCCCAAATATTCATCTGTTCACCCCATTTGGGGAGGTGGTTATGGAGGCTTCCTTACATATGGGATTTCCCAGGCAAGAATACTAGGGTGAGTTGCCACTTCCTCCTCCAGGGGATCTTCCCGACCCAGGGATCGAACCTGGGTCTTCTGCATTAGCAGACAGATTCTTCACCACTGAGTCACCTGGGAAGCCCCCATTACATAGACACTTTGATTAAGTCATCAACCACTGGTGATTAAACTCAATCTCCAGTCCCCTTTCTTTCCCCTCCTCAGAGGCCAGGGGGGTGGGACTGGAAGTTTCAACCCTCAAATCACGTGGTCGGTTCCCCCAGCAACAAGCCCTCAGCCTTGGGCACTTCCAAAAGTCACTTCAATAACGGAATACTCAGGAATGGTGGAAAGGGGTTTGTTATAAATAACAAGGCACCTTTATCATGTTCACCATTCAGGAAATCCAGGAGTTTTAGAATCTCTGTGCGTGGAGTAGGGACGAAGACCAAAGACCTACTTATGTTACATGGCACTGTATCTTAGGGACCTGCCCTTCTTACCAGTCAGGTCGCTTGGGTTCCTCTTCAGAGAATCACTCAGAGGGTGATTCAGCCCTCCTCCCCTCCCAGCCCTTCATCCCGGGGGGACATTCACTTGGCCCAGAAGGAAACCCCTGCGCTTAGAGCCAAGCGCCCCGTCTCTGTTTCAGATGCCCCGGAGAACCTGAAAGTGGTGATCTCGCGAGCAAACCACACAGGTATGGAAGGGCATCAGAGGAGCCGGGGCTTCTGGGCGCCACACTGGGGCACGGACGTCCAGCATAGCAGCAGGCAGGAGGGTTCCTGGGCCCTCCTCTCTTCATCCATCCTGCCTCTTCTCTCCCTAGCCCTGGAAAACTTGGAGAGCGGTGCATCTCTTCAGGTCCTGGAGGGCCAAAGCCTGCGTCTCCTCTGTGTTGCTCACGGCAACCCCCCCGCCCAGCTGAGCTGGACCCACCGGGGACGGACTGTGAGCCCCTCCCAGCCCTCAGATCCTGGGGTCCTGGAGCTGCCTCAGATACAAACAGAGCAGGAAGGGGAGTTCACCTGCTGGGCTCAGAACCCGCTGGGCTCCCAAAATATTTCCCTGAGCCTCTCCGTGGTCTGTGAGTATAGGGGGCCCTGGGGACAGGATGCCGGGGCTCCAGGGAGGGGAGAGGTGCCCCTGATCCCTCCCATGTCTCCCCACAGCTCCCCCGCAGCTGCTGGGCCCGTCCTGCTCCCAGGAGGATGAGGGTCTGCGCTGCAGCTGCTCCTCCAGAGCCCGGCCGGCCCCCTCCCTGCGCTGGCGGCTCGGAGAGGGGCTGCTGGCGGGGGAACTCAGCAACGCCTCCTTCGAGGTCAGCTCCAGCTCCGCCGGGCCCTGGGCCAACAGTTCCCTGAGCCTCCGCGAGGGGCTCAGCTCCGGCCTCCGACTCAGCTGCGAGGCCCTGAACGCCCACGGGGCCCGGAGCGGGTCTGTCCTGCTGCTGCCAGGTCAGGGTGGGGTGGGGGAGGCGGGGGCTGAGAGGGACCGGGGCTGGCTCTTGCGGTTGGATCAGGAGCTGGGGGAGGGCGGGGACATGCCTGGCACGTTAGTCCCTCAGTCCTGTCCGACTCGGCAACCCCATGGAATGTATAGCCCACCAGGCTCCTCTGTCCATGGGATTCTCCAGGCACGAATACTGCAGTGGGTTGCCATTTCCTTCTCCAGGGGATCTTCCCCACCCAGGGATCGAACCCAGGTCTCCCGCATTGCGGGTGGATTCTTTACTGTCTGAGCCACCAGGCCCCTTGGGATGCAGGGGGAAATTTAAATCGGAAAGCCTGACATCTGGGCATGGGGTGTAGTGGAATTTCCAAGAAGTCGATGGGAAGGGGCTGCAGGGGAAACCTCTGGCATGGGAGCCACAAGACTAAGCACCTAGTGGCGGGCGGGACATGAGGACCCACGTGGATGGGACCGGCTCAGAGACGGCTGACCGTTTCCCGTGCAGATGAGAAGGAACTCGCCTCCAGAGCGTTCTCCAGCGGAGTCTCTCTAGGGACTGGCGTCACCACCTTCCTCTTCCTCTGCTTCATCCTGATCCTGTGAGTTAGGAAAAAGGGGGGGGGGGGGAAGCGATGGGGCGTGGAATCTGGGGCACCCCGGGAAAGGGGCGGGACCCGGGCTCACACAGAGGCGGCGGCTGGATGTTTCCTCAGCGTGAGGGCTCTGAGGAAGAAATGGACCCAGGCAGAAGTCCCAGCCGCGACCTCGGCCCCGGCCCCGGCCCCGGCCCCCGCCCCCGGAAAGGCTCCGCGGTCCAGGTTCTCACGCAGGAGCACGATCCTGGATTACATCAACGTGATCCCTAAGGCCGGCCCTCTGGTGAGTGCTCCCAAGTCGCTGCCTCCTGGTCCCCTGCTCTGACTCCTGTATGCGCTGCTCCCCAGCCCCGTCCCGACCTTCCTCACAGTGGAAGAGGCCCGGGTGTTGAACTCAAACCCTGATTCTGGCACATAACTTCTAGGAGACCTTGACCATATCCCTCCTTCCTGCTGAGCGAGCCTCTGTCGCTTCCTCCTTGAGAGCCGGTTTGAGGATTACAACACATGCTATTGCTTAGTAGATGGCAGCTATTTCCCTATCACCACTACCAACGACATGACTAAGTACAATGAATGTCACAATGATTAATATCACTGAGGGGTGGTATGTCCTAGTGATGATTAAGGGCAAGGCTCTGAAGTCAGCCCGCAGGGGTTCCTTCCTGCTTTGTACGCTGTGTGTTCTGGGATGAGTCACTTAACTTCTCCGTGCCTCAATTTAACTGTAAAAAGGGGATAATAGTAGTACAGACCATGTAGGCTTATTCTGGGTGCTTGATACGCTCATTTTCTACCCATAAAACATTGAGTACCAAGTACCTAATAAGTGTTGGGTAAATGCTGGATATTTTCAGGAGAGAACATGTAGATGCTAATGACTCAAAAATTTACATTTCCCAGACTCATTCCTCAACTCTAGACTCACAGCCAACTCTGTAGGCAGCGTCTATTCGTATGTTTAACAGTCATCTCAAACTTTTCCTGTCCAAAATCAAAGTCGTGACTAAGTACCACTTAATTCCCTTCCCCTCCACCCTCTGCATCTCAGCAAAGAGCCCACATTGGCCCAACTGCTGAAGCCTCCAGCCTTAAAGTCAGTCCCACAATCATGTCCCACTCTTTGTGATCTCATGGACTGTAGCCCACCAGGCTCCTCTGTCCTTGGAATTCTCCAGTCAAGCGTACTGGAGTGGGTTGCCATTTCCTCCTCTAGGGTACTTCCTGACCCAGGGATTGAACCCGGGCCTCCTGAATTGCAGGCAGATTCTTTACTAACTGAGCTACTCGGAAGTACAAGCCTCCAGCCTCAAAGTCACTTCTTACTCCTCTCTTTTTTATCCTCCCACAATTGATCCATCAGCACATCTCTTCTCAAATCTATCCAAACCACTTCTCCCCACCTCGGCTGGATAGAGCTTAGGGACCAAGAGAAAAAAAAAAGTGAAAAAAGCCAATTTCAAATGGTCACCTACACGGTGACCACGTGTAAAACACTCTCCAATGTTACGATTGTAGAGATAGAGGACAGGTTAGTAGTCGTGAGTGATCCGGGATGGAAGGATGATGAGAAGGGAGGTTTTGGATGTGGGAGGGAGATGTATGTGTTGAAGAAGCACTTCTGTCTTGTGGTGGTCTCACACCAATCTACCTGCATTAGTCAGTTCGCTAGGGCGGCCATAGCAAAGAGCCACGGGCTGGAGGCTTAAACAACAGACTTCTGTTTATAGTTTGTTCCTGTCCGGAAACAAGAGGCGAGCTCAGGGAGGGCAGAGTCTTTGTTTCACTGCCTGATGTGATCCCAGTTCCTTAATTAGTACCTGGCACTGGGCAGGCGCTCAAGTATTTGTTGCATGAAGGAAGGAAGGCAGGATGGTCGTTTTTCCCCCCTCCTTATGCTCAGAAACAGAAAGCCAAACCAAGCAGTCCTTCCCAGCCTCCTCCAGATGGTCACTCCCCGGAAGCCAGAAAGAACCAGAAGGAGCTCCATCTCGTCTCCCACAACTGTCCAGGACCCAAGTCATCCCCACAAGCCTCAGAAGCAGAGAACAACCAAGAGGAGCTCCATTACGCTGTCCTCAACTTCCCAGGCCTCAGACCATGGGAGACCCAGAGACCCAAGGGCACGCACCCAGAGTACGCTGAAATCCAGTTCCACTGAGGGTCTACTGGGCCAGAGGACTTGGATCCAGGCCAGGGAGAGAGGCAGGGCAATTGGGAAGAGAACAGAGGGTGGTCTCTCTCTCTCTCTCTCTCTCTCTTTAATCCTCCAAGGATGGGTCATCCCATCCCAGACCCTAGCATTTTGGAGCAGCTTGATTAATGTCTCCAGAGTTGTTGTTCAATCACTCATTCGTGTCCGACTCTTTGCAACGCCATGGACTGTAGCCCTCCAGGCTTCCTTGTCCTTCACCATCTCCTGGAGTTTTCTCAGACTCATATCCATTGACTCAGTGATGCCATCCAATCATCTCATCCTCTGTTGCCCCCTTCTCCTCCTGACCTTACTTCTCCAAATACACTCTTCTGAGCAAGCAAAAGCTTTTCCTGGGAGAAACCCAGGCCCCGCCCCAGCTGATTACTCACAGTCTCAGTTTCTCAAGGGCTGGGAGGGACTTTAGAGAGGATGAGGCAATCCTGTTTGTGAGGTCGCCCAGACAACCTCATGGGTCAAGTCTGGGCCGCTGGGGCTTTGATGGCACCTGTGAGCATTTTTTACATTTTAAATTATTCAAGGGAAAAAAAATCAAAAGAAGGATGTTTTATGATGCATGGAAATGACTTGAGATTCAAATTTCAGTGTCCCTAAATAAAGCTTTATTGGAGCACAGTCATGCCCATTTTTTTTCTGTATTGCCTATGACTGATTTCAGGCTGAATGGAGTCGTTGCCTTGCTAAGCCTAAGAAAGCTAGCCTGTAGTTAGGAAAAGTTTGTTGTTGTTGTTTAGTTGCTTTCATGGTTCTTCTGCTTCTTCTTTTGGAATGGTAGGCACCTTTAAACAAAATTTTTTTTAAATTACAGTATAGTTTGTTTACAATGTGTTAGATCACAGTGATTCAGTTATATATATATATGGGAAAAATATGAAAAAGAATACATATATGTATGAGTCAATTTATTGTACAATAGAAATTAAACACAACATTGTAAATGAACCATACTTGAATAAAATTTAAAAAAAAACTTTCTAAAGACAATAAGAGGACTTGGAGTAATTAAACTTTTATGTGAAATGTATAAGGTCAAGTTCATCTAGCCCTTCAAGTAAGCATGATTATAACCTATATAAAATAAACTCCCCCAACATATAGTATGATTCTGGGATTAAGTTTTTAGTGAATTTTCAATAAATAACTGATGAAAACTTTTTTTAAAAAAGGTTATTATGACAAAGAGGTGGCACAAGAGAATTTGGAGGAATGAAAAAAAAACCACAATCTTGTTAGCAGTGACAGTTACACAGCTCTATGCATCTGTCAAAACTCAGAACTGCACACCAAAAAGAGTGAATTTTACTATACTTGAAAGAAGGTAAATAATACAAATGCAAAATGTTTTGAGCACTTTTTAAAAGATTGTGAGAATTTAAATGATTTAATGCAAATATCTCAGTGATTTCCCTTTATGGGGCCCTTCACCTCCAGACTCCCACTGCCACTTCAGCAGACTTTTCTAGCAAACCCTGACTACCAAGCAGTCCAAAAAGCAATCATGGAGATTTCTCTGGTGGTCCAGTGGCTAAGCCTCCACCTCCCAATGCAGGGGCCTAGGTTCCATCCCTGGTCAGGGAACTAGAACCCACATGCTGTACCAAAGATCCCAAATGCCACAACTAAGACCCAGCACAGCCAAATAATTTTTTTAAAATAATATTTTAAAATATTAGGGAAAAAAAGCAATCATGAGAGTCACATAAACTCAGGGGCACTCACTCCAGCACAGACTTCAGCCCACAAATCTGACCCATAAACTCAGTTTCACTCCAGTAACCTCTTGCCAAGCATCCCGGCCATTTCTGAGGATAGAGGAAAACCCCAAGACCGGAAGGGCTACTAAGTTGGAGGTGTTGAACGAGTTGGTAAGGCTCAAGGGAGGGAGAGAAGAAGGCGCCCAAAGGTCTCCTGCAGGGAGAGGGACGGAAGGAACTTAAGGGAAACCATGAGCCCCGTGGGCTAGGAAAGCCCTGAAGATCGAACCTTGGGACTTTGACAGTCGGAGGCCTGTAGGGGGCAGTGGAAGGAAGAGATTCGTCGTTAAGACTGGCTGTGTGCTTAGTTGCCCAGTCCTGTCCGACTCTTTGCGACCCCAAGCACTCACCCGCCAGGCTCCACTGTCCACGGGATTTTTCAGGCAAGAATACTGGAGTGGGTTGCCATTTCCTCCTCCAGGGGATCTTCTGGAGCCAGGGATTGAATCCATGGCTCCTGTGTTGGCAAGTGGATTCTTAACCCACTGAGCCATCAGGAAAGTCCAATGAGCTTCCCTAGAGGACCAAGAAGACCCCTGCATGGGCCTCCCCTCAGCCTGGAGACCCCTCTCCCTTTCTAGCTTCGCTCAGCATCTCCTGGTCTACGCTGCCACAGCGCCGGGAAGCGGACAAGGGACACCGCTAAAGACCCGGGCAAAACCCTCCGTTACAGCCCTGGCGCTGAAAGGAAACAGCCAATCAGAGAGCGAGAGAGAGAGAGAGACTTGTGCTCAGAAACGTAGCCAATCAAAGAATGAGGGTGCCAGCCTCCTGGGGTGCTAGCCTCGCTCTGCTTGCGAACCCCACCTGGATCTGACAGCCGGAGGGAGAGGACTCGGAAGCAATGCGAATTCACCCGCCAATCAGAGCTGAGGATGACGCCTCGCGCTATCCTACGTAACAAGGAGTGGGCGGAGCTCAAGCCGATGACTGCCCCTTCTCCCAACAAATCGGAAACATGCTTCCCTCCAGATGCAGGTGTTGATTGGTCACTTTTCAGAACTTACCTGTCAATTTTGGAAGCTGGGCGAAGCGCATTTCCCTTAGAGACACAAAAGCCCGCCTCCGCTCTCCTAGCTCGGGAAGGAGGGCCTTAAAGGGCCAGGTACCTGGTAAGGTTGCCAGGAGAAATATCGATAACCTCAGATATGCAGATGACACCACCCTTATGGCAGAAACTGAAGAAGAATTAAAGAGCCTCTTGATGAAAGTGAAACAGGAGAGTGAAAAAGTTGGCTTAAAGCACAGCACTCAGAAAACTAAGATCATGGCATCCAGTCCCATCACTTCATGGCAAATAGATGGAGAAACAGTGGAAACTGGCAAACTTAATTTTTTTGGTTTCCAAAATCACTGCAGATGGTGACTGCAGCCATGAAATTAAAAGACGCTTACTCCTTGGGAGAAAAGTTATGACCAAACTAGACAGCATATTAAAAAGCAGAGATGTTACTTTGCCAACAAAGGTCCGTCTAGTCAAGACTATGGTTTTTCCAGTAGTCATGTATGGATATGAGACTTGGACTATAAAGAAAGCTGAGTGCTGAAGAATTGATGCTTTTGAACTATGGTGTTGGAGAAAACTCTTGAGAATCCCTTGGATTGCAAGGATATCCAACCAGTCAATCCTAAAGGAAATCAGTCTTAAATATTCATTGGAAGGACTGATGGTGAAGCTGAAACTCCAGTACTTTGGCCACCTGATGCAAAGAGCTGACTCATTAGAAAAGACCCTGATGCTGGAAAAGATTGAAGGTGGGAGAAGGGGACGACAGAGGATGAGATGGTTGGATGGCATCACTGACTCAATGGACATGCGTTTGAGTAAACTCTGGGAGTTGGTGCTGGATAGGGAGGCCTGGAGGGCTGTGGTCCTTGGAGTCACAAAGAGTCGGACACGACTGAGCAAATGAACTGACTGACTGACTTGTAAGTGACAAGGTTGGACCCTGATCGCAGAAATAGGAGGATCCATTACGGAACAAAACCAGAAGCAGTGCCATTATGCTGGGACTGAGTTTTATGTTGCGAAAAATAGACTTAGTTTGTTCTAGGGCAAGAGCGGGTAAGAAGCAAAGCGAGGATTTGAACCGTCATTTTGGAGCCCTGTTCAACAAAAACTTCTTCTTTGGGATAGACTGTACCTGGATTAATGAGACCTGAATGCTAATCATAGCTGCCAGAAAAGAAAGTCAGCTTTCTTGATAAAATCTTTTCTATTCCAGCCACCTGACCTTTGCTCGCACCATTTTTTCTATGTCCATTCACTCTGCTGCTGCTGCTGCTGCTGCTAAGTCGCTTCAGTCATGTCCGACTCTGTGTGACCCCTTAGACGGGAGCCCACTAGGCTCCCCCGTCCCTGGGATTCTCCAGGCATGAATACTGGAGTGGGCTGCCATTTCATTCTCCAATGCATGAAAGTGAAAAGTGAAAGTGTCCATTCACTCTGGACCTAGTCTAAAGGCCCCTCCTTTAAAAGCAAGCAAACAAAAAAACCCTCCCCTACCTTCTCCTCCAGCCCATAGCAAGTGAGCAACTGTTTTCCTGGCCCCCGACTTGACCCTCCACCTCCCGGCCTCCAGGCTATGTTTAACCCACTTCTGGCTCTCACTGTCCTGTCCCTCCCAGTGTCCCAGCTTCCATCACCCCAGAATGCTACCGGGGATTTCACCGCCTCAAACCTTGAGAGCCCTTGAAGAGCAGCTACTGGTTCAGCATCTACTTGGAGACCCCAGCATCGTGTAGAGTTGGCTCAAGAGAACTCGGAAAATGAAAGCTACTCTTCGATTTCTCATCCTTACAGTGGGATGTTGTGAGCTTTTATAAGAAAATTCATATTCAAAGGCGTCGCTCAGGTTGAAAACTTGGCATCATCCTTGATTCCCCATTACTCACCTCCAGCAGCCCTACAGCAAATCCTGATGGTCTCCTTCCAAAATACATCATAAATGCACTCACATCTTCCCATCCCCATTAACCACACCATCCTTGAGGTCATCACCACTTGCCTAGAGGATGACAGCATTCTCTCTAGGCTTCCTGCTTCCAGACTTATGCCCCACCACAATCCACTCCCCAAACTGCAGGCACAGTGCTCTTCTTAAAACATAAATTATGTCACACCTCTGCCTCCAAACATTCAAAGTCATCTCAATGTTCCAAAATTAAATTTTAAAAATTCCATAGTCTTCACTGCAGCCTATAAGGTTATTGTACAATCTAGCTTCTACTTGCGTCTCCATTAAAAGCAGACTCTGGAGGTGGGGTTCAAATCCCAGTTGTGCTATTTACCTGCTCTGTGACCTTGAGTAACTTGCTTAGCCTCTCTGAGGCCATTTGAACCTTTGTGAAATGAGGACTAATAAATTGGAATTATTAATTAAAATAGACCTCTGTTTTATTAAAAGGAAAAAAACTGACTAGTAGTCAGCTGTCAAAGTTGTGAAAAACAAGGAAAGACTGAAATGGCTGCAGATCAGAGGTGACTGAGATGTGATGATTCAGTGAGACACTGCATTGGATTCTGGAACAGAAAAAAACAGGATGTTCGTGTAAAAACTGGAAAAATGTTCCACGACCAGGTAAGGAAATAAGAAGACTGGAAACAGGGTGAGTTACAAAGTTATCTTTGTAATTTTTCTGTAAATGTGAAGGTATTCCAAAATTTAAAAAAAATATTTTTTAAAAAATAGACCTGTTCATCTCCTAGCTTATTGCTTCCCAGTCCCTCAAATACTATGTTTGTTTCACCCTGAAGGACCTTTACACCTACTGGTCTCTTTACCAGAACACTCAGCTCCCAGGTCGGCTGGCTCCATCCCACAAGTAGCCTTCTCTAACCATCTTAACTAAAATAACCCCCTGAGCCTTTGTATCCCTTGTCCTGTCTTTACACCTCCACAGCCCTCCTTCGTGTAGGAAATGTACTATTTGTGCCTTGTGTGTTGCTCACCCAGCATGTAAGTTTCATAAGCGTGCATTTATTTTGTCTGGTGCCCAACCTGGCGCCTAGAGTATTGCAGGCACTGAATCATATTTCTTAAATAAATACATAGAAGAATCCCATTGCTTCTCAATAAAATACTACCAAGATAAAAAACGCTCATTGGTTGAGGCGAATTTTAGTCCAGATCGTGTGTTGACTACTTTACACACGCAACATATCCTTTAAAGCTCACGAGATCCTATAAGGTAATCCTATAAGCTAATAGCCCTGTTTCTCAAAAAACAGCGACTAGAAGGGTTTAAGCTCACAAGGGAAGTCAGAGACAGAGGTTAGACTGAAATCCAGCCTCTAAGATTCCTAACCCAATTACTAACCCCTTTGCCCCCGGGAGCATCCAATGTTCAGATTCTCCTAAATGCCCCTTTAGTCCTAGAGTACACCATCGGCCCCACCCCGATTCCGTCCAGGACGCGGTCCAGGAACACAGATGAAGAAAGAGGAGGCTAGGGTCTTCTAGACCTGAGGCAGGAAGGGCTGGGGGCCTGCACTCCTAGGTCTGAGGGAGGAGGGGGCTCGGGGCCGGGCTCTTTGGTCTCGAGGAGGTGGGACCTGCGACCTGAGACAAGGGTGGTTGAAGCAACTAGAACGGCAAGAACTCAAGCCCCGAACGCTTTCACGCGACTCAGCACTACCCTCACGCCCCGGCCCCGCAAGCCCCGCCCCACGAGCCCCGCCCCGGCCCACAAGCCCCGCCCCGCATGCCCGCAAGGCTCGCCCCCGCACGCCCCGCAAGCCGCGCCCCTCAAGCCACGCCCCCTCCCAACAAAGTCCCGCCCACCTCCTTCCAGACTCTTCCCTTCTGCGCGCTGGAGAAATCGAGGCGAAGGTGCTAGAAAAGACTTGAAACACCCCGGTAAAGATGGAACAGCAAAAGGAAGAGACTGGGCCTGAGGGGTGAGAGACACGAGACTCCCCGAGGGAAGGACAGTGACCCAGAGTGAGGAGGGACAGAGAAAATCGGAGAGAGAGTTGAGCAGACCCGAGAGGGTACCGGGGGGAAAAAAAAAAAAGCCTCTGGTATCATCACATAGAAACAGAATCTTTGAGGATCTTAGTGACAGAGCTGAGCGAGATACTTAGAAATAGGGAAAGAGCTGGAAGCAGATATTAATGGAAGAAAGAGAAGTTTCTAGCGGGAATCGGGAGAATTGAAGATACTAATAATAATTGTCTGGAGAAATAATAATAATTGACACCAGGTATTGAACACTTCCCAGACCCAGCCCTTTCAGAGGCACCTTTGATACCACCAGAAGCTCTCTCTTGGTATGAAAACTTAAGGTTCGGAAGGGGGAAATGATTGGCCCAGACACACGGCTGAGGAGGGCAGCCTGGAATGGGAACCATGCTCGGTGGGACGCTGAAGCTCCAGCTGAGCTGTCTGCCTGTCTGTAAAGAGAGACAGGAAGGAACAGAGAAAGAGAGAAAGGAAGGGGCTAGAAGTCAGAGGCAAACGGTCCTGAGGATGAGGAGAAATGAAAGCCTGGGAGAAGGCAGGAAGCAGCGAGGCTGCGGAAAGCAAAGGCATGTGCAGACTGGGGACATCCCCTGCCTGACCTGTCCTCTTGTGGTTCTAGGAACAATCTGCCGTCCCCCGGGGCTGGGTCGTGGCCGCCTCAAGCTTTCCCAGCTCTGCCCTCTTCTTTCCTGGGCACCCCAGATCCAGCCCACCTGGGGCTCCCCGAGAGCCTGGCCTCTGTGACCGTCCCCATCCGCCTGGATGCCCTGTCTTACCTCCTGCACACCGCCCTGATGGGGGCCTACTCGCTGCAGCAGTCCTTGCCCTCCTGCCCTTGTGTCCCCCGGGGATGCGGCACCCAGCCGGGCACTGCCAAGAGGTCACCCAAGGGACGCGGGGGCTGGGATGTCCCGCGCAGGCCAGGCTGGGGCCACCGGAGATGGGGACTTGGGAGGGCTGAACAGGCAGAGAGGGGCTGGGCCAGGGGCCGTGGGGCTGGCCCCAGGACCCCGCCGGTGACGCCGCCATCACCAGCACCGCCTGCGCAGGAGGGGAAGAAGGACACCCAGGGTCCGGAGCCACCCATGGAGCCACCGCCTGCTGAGGACTGGGAGGCCGAATACTAAGACCTTGAGGATCCTGCACCCTGGATTCCGGAGGGCGCCTTGGAGGTCACCAGGAGAGTTTTCTTGGAGCCCAGGGTGACCCCAGCCCTGCCAGAGATACCCAGGGAACATCGCACTGCCATCCCTCTTCCCTGAAAACCACAGCCTCAGAAGGGGCTCCTGTGAGTCAGCTGGTGACACTGGGACCTGACTTCGGATCCCAAGTCAGGGAAGCAACCCTAACCCAAGCCCCTTCCCGTCTCTGACAGCATCCCTAACTACACTGCCAACCCGCGCCTCTCTCCCAACGCCCGGGGCTCCCCCGGACATTTCCAGCCCCCTTCCTAACCCTAGAGCCATTCCCGCCAGCCCCACCCCACGGACCCAGCCATTCATCCCCCTTCCTGCTCCCATCTCTGCCCTGACCCACCCTCGTAGCCTCGTTCCCAGCTCCCTCATCCCCTTCTTCCTAAAGGCCAGCCCGACCCTCATCCTTCATTTCACTGAAGCTCCAGCCCTCAGTGCAGCCGTGTCCTCGAGCCCAGCCAGCCTGGCCTCATCCTCTACCCCCTTCCTGTCCTAACCCCCCAGGTGACATGCCCTGTGACCCCACTTGCAGAAAACCCTGTTGTCCCAACATATCCAGGCACCTGCGGCCCCCACCCCATTTCCTGCCCTTGGGGGAGGGGGACCGGATTGCACAATAAATGGCTGAGTGTCCCTATGTCTTGTGTCTGTGTGTGCTTACGCAGCTCGGGCTAACCCCGTGGGTGCCGGGAGCGTGGCCGGTGAAAGGCTTCCAGGGTGGCTGGGAGGGTCATGGAGAGAGGCCGCTGGGGCCAGGGGCTGCGGAGAGGCAGGGCCTGGATTCCTGCCTCAGCGAATTCCATCTGGGGGCCTCTGCCTGCTGGAAGCTGCTGGGCTGCGGGCCCATTGTGTGGGGAGGCTTAAGGGATTTGGGGGGACCCGGGGAGCCGAGAGGCCAGTGACCTGGCCGGGCTCAGTCTGCTCAGAGGGGCCGAGGCAGACGGAGGGCTCAGGGCAGAATCTGCGGCTCAGGTAGGGACCAGGCATGGCCCCCTCCTCCACGCAAATGTAGGAGGCCAGGTTTCCTTTCTCCCCCAGGGACTTGGTGGGGTCTTAGCCCTAGCCCCCTGCTACCTTGGATCTGGGAGTCCAAGCCCCCAGTCCTCTCCTTCCCCCCCGAGACTTGGTGCCCCAAGGCGCAGGGAGTGTCTAGCCCCGTCCCAGTTTAGGTTCTGGATGTCTAGGCCCCCAGCCTCAGTCTCTCCCAGGACCCAAAGGTCTAGGTCCTCAAACTCTCCTCCCCCAGACCCAGAGGTCCAGGTGTCCAGTTCTTTGCTCCCACTGGGACCTGATGTCCCAGCCCCCACCCCCTCTCCCCACCCTAGGATTTGGAAGTCCAGGTCCCTAGGTCTTCCTCCCTCAAACCAGGGCTCAGATCCCCCAGCCCTCACCTCTCCCAGGACCCAGCAGTCCAGCTCGTGACCCCATTTCTCCCCTCACCCACAGATCACCATGTACAGCTTCATGGGAGGCGGCCTCTTCTGTGCCTGGGTGGGGACCATCCTCCTGGTGGTGGCCACGGCGACAGACCACTGGATGCAGTACCGGCTGTCGGGGGCCTTCGCCCACCAGGGCCTGTGGCGTTACTGCCTGGGCACCAAGTGCTACCTGCAGACAGAAAGCATCGGTGAGGCTCCGGGGCGGGCTCCGGGCTCTGCCTGGGAGCAGAGCGTCCCGCGGGGCAGAACCTTCCAGCAGAAGGGCCCCCTGTTTTGCAGGTGGAGAACCTTGTGGTTCAGAGAGGGAAAGGGTCCAGCCCAAGGTCACTCGGCAGGGAAGGAACAGAGCTGGGATTCCAGTATTTTTTTCCTGGTACAATTACAGGATGTACTGATTTAGAAGTTAAGGAGAGAGGTGACATTTTCTGGCATGAAATAGAGGTCAGGTAACAGCAGTTACCTGGGGCCGGGGCTGACAAAAGAGCATTTTCTAAATATCTATTACGTGTCAAGAACTCTGTTTGGTACTCAGAGGATGCAGAAGCAATACAGACCCTAAATCTGCTATACTAGATGAGGTATTTTTTAATACTTGTTGTGAGCCAAGTCACGTAATACATATTATGTATATGTATACGTGTGTGTGTATATGTGTGTATATAGCTATATAGCGGATATGTTGCTGCTAAGTCATTTCAGTCGTGTCTGACTCTTTGTGACCCTTTGGTCTATAGCCCACCAGCCTCCTCTGTCCGTGGGATTTCCCAGGCAAGAATACTGGCCTGGGTTGCCACGCCCTCCTCCAGGGGATCTTCCCTACCCAGAGATAGAACCTGCATTTCTTATGTCTCCTGCATTGGCAGCAGGTTCTTTACTAAAGGCACCTGGGAAGCCCATATAGTGTGTGTATCACACTATATATTGTACAAGTGGGGATAAAATTGTTCTCACAGTTTATGGACAAAAGTGCATATGTGCTCGTCACTCAGTCAGGTCCAACTCTTTGCGACTCCATGGACCATAGCCCGCCAGGCTCCTCTGTCCATGGGATTTCCCAGGCAGTGATTCCCTTCTCCAGGGGATCTTCCTGGCTCAGGGATTGAACCCCATCTCAAGCACTGCAGGCAGATTCTTTACTATCTGAGCCACTTGCAATCTATGTTATATAATATAAATTATTGTAATGTATTATGTACATATGTCTCTATGTACCTCTTTCCCTATCTGTATATACTTGCATATATGTACAGTCATCCCTCAATCCCTTAGCATGCTCAGAGAATGGTTCCAGGACCCGTAGTGGATACCAAAAACTGCTGGATGCTCAAGTCTCATAATTAACTCCGTATCAGCTATTCCACAGCCAGGGGTCCATATCCACAATTCTGCATCCGCGAATTCATCCCCAGATCGTGTAGTACTGCGTGTATTTATCAGAAAAAATCTGCGTGTAAGTGGACCAGCACAATTCAAACATGTGCTGTTCAAGGTCAAATGTATACACGCACATATATATGGAAGTTATGCGTGCTCAGTCGTGTTCCACTCTGTAGGACTCCATGGACTGCAGCCCACCAGGCGCCTCTGTCCATTGAATCTTCCAGGCAAGAATACTGGAGTGGGTTGCCATTTCCTTCTCCAGGGGATCTTCCCAACCCAGGAATTGAACCTGCATCTCTTGCATCTCCTGCATTGGCAGGCTGGCTCTCTACCACTGCGCCACCTGGGAATCTCATACCTGGAGAGAGAGATACATAGAGATATATACTATATTACCTCATATATATTATATAGTATATGTTATGTAATATATCAGTGATATATAATGTGTCACATGTTCTATATTATATGTATCCAGTGATAGCGGTAATAATAATAATAACTGGCATGTACTGTTACTGTGTCTTACATGCTATACTAAGTACTTTGCCTGGATTAACTCCCATAGTGGTCCCAACAACACTGAGAAGGCAGTTCCCTTGTGTCTATGAATAAGACCTGATACATGACCTTGAAAAACCAATTCTTTTGCAAGGGCGGGGGTTGGGAGGAGGAGCCCACCTTCCCTGAACCCTGTGATGTGACAGGCTTGTGGCAGGAAATTTCATCTACCCCATCGCACCAAACCTGCCCATTCACTAGAGCGGTAAACTGAGGCAGGGGGAGTGGAAAAGCTTGTCCTGGGCTACCTGTTTCAGAGCCCCATCTGCCAATCAGGCTCATGTATCTTTTTCATTTCTGGCCACATGCACTGTCACACTTCTACCTTTCCTCCTGATTCAGGCTGGGAACCACCCCGCCCCACCCCCCACTCCCCACCCTGGGGCGCTCTGAGTTTCTTCTGTGTTTTATCTCTGCTGGGGATGGGAGAGAGGGAGGCTGGATGGGGGTCTTCAAGTTCATTTGACATCTTCACGACCCCAAGACTGAGGGCCTCAGGGACAACCTCACCCTAATAGATTTTTCACTATTTGTCCAAACAACTGGTTTATCGTTCATCCATTGTATGACTGATGTAATCCAATCACCAAAATTAGAGCAGGAGTCCTGAACGTGCTTCCCCAGGGCCAAACCCAACCTTAGACGTGTATGCATGACATTTTTAAAGTTTCCAAAGTCGTTGTCGTCGTTCAGTCGTTAAGTCGTGTCCGACACTCTGTGACCCCATGGACTGCAGCACACCGGGCTTCTTTGTCTTTCACTGTCTCGTGGAGTTTGCTCAGATTTATGTCCACTAAGTCAGTGACGCTATCTAACCATCTCATCCTCTGCCACCCTCTTCTCCTTTTGCCTTCAGTCTTTCCCAGGCTCAGGGTCTTTTCCAGTGAGCAGGCTCTTCGCATCAGGTGGTCAAAGTATAGGAGCTTCAGCTTCGGCCTCAGTCCTTCCAATGAATATTCAGGGTTGATTTCCTTTAGGATTGACTGATTTAATCTCCTTGCAGTCCAAGGGACTCTCAAGAGTCCCACACCACAATTCAAAGAGTCAACACCACAATTCAAAGGCATCAATTCTTTGGCGCTCAACCTTCTTTATGGTCCAGTTCTCACATCCATACATGACTACTGGAAAAACCATAGCTTTGACTACACAGACCTTTGTCGGCAAAGAGATGTCTTTGCTTTATAATACGCAAGTGTTAAAAAATCTGGAGATTTTACATTAAAATCTGGACTTGCAGCTCTTGTTGAAAAATCCAGTTTTGCAAGTCTTCTCTGGGTTCATGGTCAGCTGGGTATGAGCAACAGGAGGCCCCAAGTAGTTAAGACTGAGAGTTTTGAGCTTGGCTTTCAACTCTAGTCCCTCTGCTTATTGTGGGACCTTGGGCAAAACACTTTACCTCTCTGAGCCTCTATTCTTTCCTTCACTTGAAAAAAATGGACAGGAAAACACTTTAAACATAGGACTCTTGGAAGGAATAGGATCATACAGGAAAAGAGAGCCTGGCCCATACTTGATAGTTGCCAAGTGGAAGTTGAAGTCATGAAGACTGTTCTCAGGGATCTTCATTCATTCAACATGTTTACTGAACACCTACTGCATGCCAGGCACTAGATGCTGGGGATACAACAGTGAAAGAGAAAGCCAGACCCTTGTCCTCACAGAGCTGAAAATTCAGTGCAAAGAGTTAGACATCATAAACAAGGTAGAAATAAACAAGTGGGACGTTTTTAGATATGGGCAAGTGGTATGAAGGAAGGGAAAGGGAGAGTGAGAGAGAGGCTAGACAGTGAGTAGCAGGGGGATATGGGAAATTGGTATTCATTCATTTACTCATTCCTTCATCCAACAAACATTTCTCCAGGCTGCTGTTCAAACAAGCCTCTGCTGGGCATGTTTGTGATATAGAATCAACCAGGTACTTGTCCTCAGGGAGCAATCAGGCTGGAGAGGGAGACAGACAAAGAGAGTCTCAAACCAGAGGAGGGAGTGTAGATGGTACCTGAGGGGTGAGGGAGTACTTCCTAGAGGAGGGGAGCTGAGAGGTGGGCTTTGGAGGATGAATAGGAGTTTGCCAGGTGAAGAGGAGGGTGTTTGGAGAGCAGTGAAGGAAGAGCGGGGTGAGGGATATGGAGAGGGGGGATGCATTCCTGCCCTCAGAGGTGGCAGCCTCCACTCTGAGGGCAGGGGCAGGACAGCAGTGACCATGGGGTACCCTTACAGCATACTGGAATGCCACCCGGGCCTTCATGATCCTGTCCTCACTCTGTGCCACCTCCGGCATCATCATGGGCATCGTGGCCTTCGCTCAGCAGCCCACCTTCACCCGCCTCTCCCGGCCCTTCTCTGCAGGCATCATGTTTTTCGCCTCCAGTGAGTGAACCGCACCCTACACCTACCCATCTCCCCAACTCCCTGCCCAGCTCCAACCCCCACCCATGCCCGCCCCCAGCACCACTTTCATTCCCCACTGCTCCTTGCTCTCAACTCCACCTGCACCGGAATCCCATCTCCACTCCCAACAACAACTTCATGACTATTTCTAATGCTCGTTGATTCCTATACCACCCAGGTGTACTGCCATTCCATTCTGGCACTCGTCACCTGGAGCTGGCATCAGACCCCACAGGCTTAAAGGTACAGTTCCCAGCAAGACTGCCCCTACTTCAGCTGCAAGTTGGGGCCCCCAGCCCACTTGCACTTTTGATCTATCAGTTACAGATTCAGGGGTTCCCAGGATCTACTCGGGTTCAAAAATTGGCTGGAACAACTCACAGAACCCAGGAAAGCATAATACTTAAAAATTTCAGTTTTATTACCAAGAATACAGCTCAAGACCAGCCAACTAAAGAAATGCATAGGGTGAAGCTGGAGAGAGTCCTGAACACACAGCTCCCACGCCCTCTCCTGGCAGAGCTGGGGCTCATCACCCTGCCCTCCAACCCCAGCACCCCCATACGTTCACCACCCAGGAAGCCCCAGTGGGCAGCAGCGGCCTGCGTTTCTTTTGGTTTCATTACAAGGACGTGAGTGATTGCATCATGGGCCACCTAATTGAGCTCAGTCTCCAGCTCCCCTCTCCTCCCCAGAGGTTGGAGTGATCCCAGGTAGCTCCAAGTCCCAACCCTGCATCCTACGGTTGGGCTTTCTGGTGACCAGCTCTCACAGTGAGTCATCTCTGCTCGTCAACATAAATTCAGGTGTGATTAGAGAGGCTCAAGAGAAACAAAGACACTCCTATTACTCAGAAAGTTCCAAGGATTTAGAGTCTCCCTCCCAGGAACCAGAGAGAAAGACCAGTCAGACTCTTTATGACACAAGACAACCCACCCCACCCCTGCCCTTAACCCTACTCCCCATTCATTTTTACTCCTAGTTTCAACTCAACCCCCATCTTCACCCTTATCCCTCTCTGCATCCATACCCCCTTCTCAACCTCATTCCAACTCCCATCTCTAAAAGCAAAAAGTTGTGTCTGACTCTTTGTGACCCCGTGGAACTGTAGCCCACCAGGCTCGTCTGTCCATGGGGTTCTCCAGGCCAGAATACTGGAGTGGGTTGCCATTCCCCCCTCCGGGAGATCTTCCTGACCCAGGAATCGAACCTGGGTCTCCTGCATGGCAGGCACCTTCTTTACCATCTGAGTCACCCAGCCCTATTCTCCCGCACACCCCCATCCCCCGCCCTCTCTCTCCAGCCTTTTTCGTCCTGCTGGCCTTGGCCATCTACACTGGAGTCACCGTCAGCTTTCTGGGTCGCCGCTTCGGGGACTGGCGCTTTTCCTGGTCCTACATCCTGGGCTGGGTAGCCCTGCTCATGACCTTCTTTGCAGGTACTGGGTTTGGGGGTGGGAAGGTCAGTGTCTGTGTCCCAGCCGGCAGAACCCAGGATGCCTAAATGATGGGGAGTCCCAGACGGAGCACCCAGCATTGAGCCAGAAGGCAGACTCCAAGCCCTGCAGACAATCAGGGAGAAAGGGAATACTGTGTTGGGGTCTTGGGCTGGCTGGGGGGGATGGAGGGGCGGGAGGGCTTGGGGGCAGGGTCCATTGGGGTCTCTTCTTGTGCAGGAATTTTCTACATGTGTGCCTACCGGATGCATGAATGTCGGCGCCTGTCCACTCCCCGCTGAACCTACGTGTGCCCCGACTGCACCTGGAAGTAGAAGTCCGGTCACTGAAGAGGGGAAGGGCCTAGAGGCCTGAAATCCTGGTTCCTAGGGGGCGTGAGGGGGCTTGGTCCCAGACGCTGGGTGGGGACCCCTGACTCCTGTGTCCCAAGGGGAAGGGAGCAAGACTGGGGCCTGGGGGAAGCAGTTGAGAAGACCTACGACCCCACCCGCCGGGGGGTTGCTAGAGAAATGGGATATCCATTAGAGCGGCTTTTTGGAGTCTAATAAAACTGGTTGAAACTACTGAAGTGTGGTCCCTGAGGGCTTGGGGCAGAGAGAAAGAGGGGTGATTGTGGTGAATGGGGCAGAAGTGGTTGCATTAGAGCAGTCCAGGCTGTCCGGTTCCTGTAGGGGTGGGCACCAGAATAAACCACACAGGCCCCTGCTACTGGGTTCCACTTCTTTATTATTTTGGCCACACCATGCAGCTTGTAGGAGCTTCATAGGTGGCATTAGTGGGAAAGAACCCACCTGCCAATGCAGGGGCCCTAGTAGATGCAGGATTGACCCCTGGGTCAGGAAGATCCCCTGGAGGAGGGCATGGCAACCCACTCCAGTATTCTTGCCTGGGAAATCCCACGGACAGAGGAGCTTGGTGGGCCACAGTCCATGGGGTCGAAAAGAGTGGGACACGACTGAAGCGACTTAGCACACATGCACGCGTGCAGTTTGTGGGATCTTAGTTCTCCAACCAGGAATGGAACCCAGGGCCCCTGCAGTGGAAGCATGGAGTTCTAACCACAGGATGCCTGCCAGGGAATTTCCTAAGCTCACAGCTGCTAGGAAGCTGATGTGTGTAAGTCCAATTCTTGTTTTAAGATTTATTTGGCTGCACCAGGTCTTAGTTGCAGCCTGCTGGATCTAGTTCCCTGACCAGGGATGGAACCTGGGCCCCCTGCACTGGGAGCATGGAGTCTTCGCCACTGGACCACTAGGGAGGTCCCTGTATGTTCTGATGTGTGTTTTCCCCACATCACCAAGCAATTAACTCAATTCAGATACAATCTACCTGAAGAAACTGACAGATCACACAGGTTAAAGACAGCCCTGTAAGACCACCCCCCACTGCAGATGCCAGTCACACGTCCAGGTTGTCACCTGTGCTTCTGGAGGACTAGCAATAGAGGAGAGGTCCCCATGACCCCCTGACGGGGTTCCATTCATTTGCTGCAGCTCACAGAACTCAGAGATACATTCTACTTACTAGGTCGCCAGTGTGTTATAAAAGAATCTAACTCAGAACATCCAGATGGAAGGGATGCCCAGGGCAAGGTAAGCGGGAAGGGGCCCGAAACTTTCATGCTCTCTCCAAGTAGGTCACTCTTCCCACCAAAAGCACAAGTTCACCAACCTCAGAAGCCCTCTGAACCCTCTCCTTTTGGGTTGTTACGGAGGCTTCATTACACAATTATGATGGAGAACATCACTGGCCACTGGTGACTGAGTCAGTCTCCAACTCCTCTTTCCTCCCAGGAGGTCAGGTGTTGGAACTGCCTGTTCGGACCCTCTAACAGAGTACTTGGTTTCCCTGGCAACCAGCCCCCTCCCTCTGGTTAAGGAGGGCTGGTCCCAAAGTCAGGACATCAATATAACAAGAGACACCTTGATTGCCCTCACAATTTAGGAAACTTTAGACTTTAAGGATCTGGATGCCAGAAAGGTGAAAGTGGAAGTGTTAGTCGCTCAGTGGTGTTCGACTCTTTGTGACCCCATGGAATGTAGCTCGCCAGACTCTTCTGTCCCTGGGATTTCCCAGGCAAGAATACTGGAGTGGGAGCCATTCCCTTCTCCAGGGGATCTTCCCAACCCAGAGGTTGAACACCTACGGCCATGAGATTTACTAATGCTTATCATAAAACAATAAGACTGTTTAGAAAGCTAGTTCCAATAATAAGAATATTTATTGCAGCCTATGTTAGGAACTGTTATATTAATAGAGGCTTACTCTCTAGACATATTTATTAGGCCCTCCTCAAATAACAGTAATACTGTATTTATAGAGGCTTCCTCTAGTAATTATAGCAATTGAAGTCTTCCTCTTTTCTTCTTTAGAATATATGCTGCCAAAGCAAGCACAAAGTCTTCTTTAATTATAATTTATTGAAGCCTATTTAAGTAGAAATATTTACTGAGACTTACTCCAGGAATTTATAGGGGCTGAAAGCTATGGCTTTTCCAGTAGTTGTGTACAAATGTGAGAGCTGGACCAGAAAGAAGACTAAGCACTGAAGAACTGATGCTTTCCAACTCTGGTGCTGGAGAAGGCGTTTGAGAGTCCCTTGGACTGCAAGATCAAACCAGTCAATCCTAAAGGAAATCAACTCTGAATATTCATTCAAAGGACTGATGATGAAGCTGAAGCTCCAATACTCTGGCCACCTAATTCGAAGAGCTGATTTATTGGAAAAGATCCTGACGCTGGGAAAGATTGAGGGCAAAAGGAGAAGGGGGCAACAGTGGATGAGATGGTTAGATGGCATCACTGACTTAATGGACATGAGTTTGAGTAAACTCCGGGAGTTGGCGATGGACAGGGAGGCCTGGTGTGCAGCAGTTCATGGTCACAAAGAGCTGGACATGAGTTAACAACTGAAAAACAATGACTCTAGTAATAGCAATAATGTTATAACTTCAGACTTACAGCTCCGACTACCACTTGCTCAACATTCCCACTTGAAGAAGTAACTCAATTTTCACATATCGGCCTAAAGCTGAGCTCCTGATCTCTCTCACGCCCCACATCTACTCCTACAAACATCTCCCCAAACGAGTGCAGACTCAGTAGTTGCGACACATGGCTTAGTTGCTCCATGGCATGTGGGATCTTCCCAGACCAGGGATTGAACTCACATTCCCCACACTGAGGTGGGTTCTCATTCATTGTGCCAACAGGGAAGTCCTATTTTTAGTATTTTGAGGAACCCCATACTGTTCTCCGTAGTGGTTGTACCAACTTACACTCCCGCCAACAGTTTAAGAGGGCTCCTTTTTCTCTGCACCTTCTGCAGCTTTGTTTTTAGGCTTTTAAAGGAATTTTTATTAAAACATGATTCATATCATGTCCCCCTTCTGCTCTAAGTCCTCCAGTGGCTTGGACCTGGAGGTAGGATGAAGGTAAAAATGGCGGAGGGTGTGGAATTACTGGGGTTGGGGAGAGGCATGAAGAAGTAGGGGTGGAACTGGTGTAGGTATAGAAATGAGAAGAGGGTTAAATGTGAGGATGCATTTGGGTTTGGGGATGGGGTTGGGTTTGGGATTAAGAAAGGGGTTAGGTAGGAGGAGAGGGTAGGGGTTAAACTCAGGGGTTTAATACGGGTTGTGTTTGGTCATCAGGCTGAGTACAGAGTTGGGTTTGGGAACGAGAATGGGGTTATGTTTGGGGTTTGAGATGGGTTGAGTTTGGGGTTGGAGCTGAAGTTTGGGATTGAAATTGGGGTTAAGGATGGATTGAGGGAATTCCCTGGTGGTCCAGTGGTTAGGATTCGGCACTTTCACTGCTGGAACCTGGGTTCAATCCATGGTCAGGGATCTAAGATCCTGCAAGCCTCGGGTGCAGCCAAAAAGAAAAGATGGACTTGAGTTTGTGGTTAGGTTTGGGAATGAGAATGGGGTTGGAGGATAGGAAAGGGGCTTAAAATGGGATTGGAGTTGCAGTCAGGATGAGGTTGGGTTTGGGACAGGGTCGAGATCACAGAGGACATTTCCCTGGTGGTCCAGTGGTTAGGACTCTGTGCTCTCACTGCCAGGGGCCCAGGTTCAGTCCCTGACTGGGGAACTAAGATCCCACAAACCATTTAGTAAGGCCAAAAGAGAAAATGGGAGAGAGGTGGTGGGGAGAAAAAGAGGAAAAACAGAAGATCCCAGATGGGTTCTGAGCATGTGATCATCACATGCTCTCAGCCCAGACTTCCTGAAGCCTGTCCAGCTGCTCCTCACAGGAGCCAGGTCCACCACTGCTTTTTAGATGGTGCCCCAGCTGCCCATGACCCGGATCTCCTTCCGGGAGCCTGTCCTCCTGAGCTTGTTCTCAGGAGTGACCAGTTGCCCAGGTGGAGACGATCTAGATGGGGGCCAAACTCTGCAAACTGGAGTCTCCAGCTAAGGAAGAGGACCAGCCTCCTGCAGTCACTCCTATTCTCCCCTTCGCCGGCTGTCCTGGGACTGTCGGCTCAGTTCCTCTTCGGGACAGCAGTCCTGTGGGTCACTCCTGCTTCACAGCGTTAGGGTTAGGGTCTGCGCCTCCCCCCTGGGCTGTGACACCGTCCCCTTATGCCTGAGGTGGGGCCCAGGGCCTGACGCTGGTTGAGGTGGGGAGGGCCGGAAAGTCTTGCCCTGACATCCTTTACCCATCCCCCCTCCCCCCCCCAACCCCGACCACAGAAACCCTGATCCCAGTGATGAAGCCCACCAGGCTGAACGCCTTACTCGCGGCCGAGCTGTTTGTGAACTCACTTGTATCAGGATGTGGGCACGTCTTCCCCTCTGCAAACTTTCAGAATTGTGGTCACTGTTTGTCTCCCCGCTGCCCCCACCCAGCACAAGCTCCAAGCAAGGAGCAGGGAGTCTGAGTGTCCGCACGCTCAGCACCTGGAGTCTAGGCTTCTGGCACCTTCCTCCTGCAGTTCCCAGCATCCTCACCAACTGCCCCCTCTTTTTGCGGAGACCCCAGAATTGGGCCCCCCCACCTCCCAGAACGGAAAATTGCAGAATCACAGGAAAGCATGATGCATTCCCCCAGCTGTCTCCCTCCAGTCACACCTCCCCCTCCCATCTAACTCACACCCCAGCCTCACTCACCGCGTGCCCCCTCTGCTCACCCCTCTACCCACCCCCCACCCCCTCAACCCCCATCTCTCTCTCTCACCTTTTCCAGGAAGCCCCTCTGGTGCAGAGGCCCCCAAGGGCAGCAGGTAGACAGGCTTCCGTGGAGACAGACAAGTTTCAAACCAGAGACAATGCGACATCTTCGGGGCCAACCCCCGCCACCACCGTCCAGGGCGAGGGAAACCTCAGAGAGGGGCGGGGTTGGGGGGACGGGTGTTGATGCAAGCCAGGAAGGCAGGGTGTGTGACACAGCAACTGCCTGGAACAGGCTGAGACCGAACGGGTCTGACGTTGAGAAGCAAAGACCACCCCCCAGCCACCTCTAGCGCTTGCTGGTTTCTCTTTCTTGAGACCAGAGGACCCAGGAGTTTGGGGCGGAGGGAGAAACAGCTTCCTCCTCTCTCAGAGACCTAGGAATC